CTCCAGTGTTTGCTAATTGTCTTCAGGAGAAAAACACCTTCTGTTGGCCCTCTAGACTTAGAGTTTCTGAGGCTTTCTCAGACCTTCTATGGATAAAAGTGTTTCATGCTTCTTATTTCTTCTTTTGGCAGAATTCTTGAGCTTATATGCTCTATTTTTATCTAGCAACACAATAGGCTGGGGGCTGATAAAGCCCCTTTTCTTCTCCTAAGGGTGGTGCTAATGCAGAAATTTATGGTCTGTCTCTGGCCTGCAGATGTGAGCCAGCTTCCTTTGTGTGTTCTCAAGCTGTCAGCCAAAGCCTTCCCTCACTGCCTTGGTTGTGAGCACCCATGGTAAACTAGCCACAGTGTGGATATTTGTATAATGTGTTCAGAGCACTGAGGGTGCCCACTGGCCAGTTGGGAGGATCCATGGGTGAGGCATCCCTATTCGCTCATGGATGGGCTTCTTGATAGTCTGTGATACAGCAGGTAGAATCTGTACCACATCAATTTCTTCTAAGAATCCTATCTGCTACCTCTTCCCACCCCAGTCATTCATCTCATAATTCAGCACTCTGAATGGGGCAAGAAATCAATGGGCTTTTTTGGCAACATCCCACACAGTTGGAGAAGCTACATGTTAATTCACATGCTCTCACTTGCCCCTGCAGGGGAAATCATGGGCCAAAATCATAGGCCAGGAAGAGCCCTCTTGGCCTTTAGTTGTTCAATCTTGGGGGAGGCTTGATGTTCGTGAAACCATTCCTTTTACTTTGTTCAATTCATGCAAACTCATAGATATTTTTTTTTTTGCCCCAACATCATGCCAGTACTTCTCTACAAGAAACCTGAATATCCACAAAAGCTCTTTCGTTCTTAAATGATGGATTAAAACAGGATTTTCCAGGTACCCCAGGCTGTAGCCAAGAGGGTATGGAGCCAGTTAACAGATGACTGCAATGTCCAGAGCTGGGATTGAGGTCTCTAAGCCTAATACCCTGTGCACAGGTGGGTGAGACTCCTCCTGTTCCCCTTGACAAATTTGCTGGATCCCACAGCTCCCACAAAGACACTTTGGTCTGTGAATGAAGCCAAGTTGTTATTAAAGGGAGGTATGATGGAACACATCTTATTCAATCATAATGCTGGTGTAACTCCTCACAGAAGTATATTCAAGTCAAAGTGAGTAATTCAACCTGAGCTTCTTTTACTTTGCTTTTGTCTTTCTTCACTCGTCTTGAAACCTCAACCATGAGGCCACCTGGAGTCTCCCATTCTTCATTTATTAAGGGAATAAGTCCGAGAGAGAGAGAGAGAGAGAGAGAGAGACAATTCCATAGATTCTCACATGGAAAAATGATTGATTAGGTCCTTTGTCCCTCCTAATAGAACCCCACTCTCTATAAAACCACCCACACTTTCTTGACCCAGAGTTTCTTCCCATGCTGTAAAAAGACAAGAAGAAATCAGGGAGTTGTTACCCTTTTTCTTCACCTCCAGGAGTTTTCTTTGCTCTACATCATTATTACTTGGAAAACATTTAAAAATTCCCATGTCCAGAACTTAAAAGGATTCAGTAAATTAGTATTTCTGGGCATCATTACTTTTTTTTTTTTTTTTTTTAGTATGTGGGCCTCTCACTGCCGTGGCCTCTCCCATTGCGGAGCACAGGCTCCGGACGAGCAGGCTCAACGGCCATGGCTCACGGGCCCAGCCGCTCCACGGCATGTGGGATCCTCCCAGACCGGGGCACGAACCCGTATCCCCTGCATCGGCAGGCGGACTCCCAACCACTGCGCCACCAGGGAAGCCCCTGGGCATCATTACTTTTAAGAGATCACCAGCTTATTCAAAATGCTATCAAATTGAGAATAAGTACACCTGCCCTACTTAGTTAAAAAAAAAAAAAACGTGTGTGAGTCACATGAAAATACTGTTAAAATGCACTTTCTGACCAGGAGGCCCGAGTTATGCCTAAAAGACTGAAATCTGAATACAATTCAGGGACAGAGGTCCTGTTTACACTCAAGTAAATAAAACTTGGTGACAAGAAAAAAAACTTATTAGAGATGATTGGAAGTGAGGATATTTGTACAATATAACACATTGGGAGGATCTCATTATCATGAAGAAACTAACCAAATATCAAGTAATTTTTAATAAACAAAACATGTAAAATGAAGACAATATCCTCCATTTTGGTTATCAGTACAACCTTCTCTCAGAGACAAAAATTCTAGTTTCAGTAAAGGCTTAGCTTAAAAAGTACAGACCAGGCTTCCCTGATGGCACAGTGGTTGGGAGTCCGCCTGCCAATACAGGGGACACAGGTTCGTGCCCTGGTCTGGGAAGATCCCACATGCCGCGGAGCGGCTGGGCCCATGAGCCATGGACGCTGAGCCTGCGCGTCCCGAGCCTGTGCTCCGCAACAGGAGAGACCACAACAGTGAGAGGCCTGCGTACTGCAAAAAAAAAAAAACTGAATCAAGAAGAAACAGACAATTTGAACAGACCTATCAATAGAAGTGAAATAGAATCTGTAAATTAAAAAATTCCCTACCAACAAAAGTCCAGAACCAGATGGCTTCACAGGCAAATTCTACCAAACATACAAAAAAGAACTTATACCAATTGTTTTCAGCCTCTTCCAAAAGGTTAAACAGGAAGGAATACTCCCAAAGACATTCTATGAAGCCACCATCACCCTGATCCCAAAACCAAAGATGCTACCAAAAAAAAAAATTACAGGCCAATATCTCTGATGAATATAGGTGCAAAAACTATCAATAAAATATTAGCAAACTGAATCAAATAACACATAAAAAATGATATACCATGACCACACTGGATTTATCTAAGGGCTAAAAGGACGATTCAACATACACAAATCAATGTGATACGCCATATCAACAACAACAAAAAAAGACAAGATCCACATGATCATCTAAAGAGATGCAGAAAAAGCATCTCCTAAAATTCAACATCCATTCATGATAAAAACCCTTGCAAAAGTGGGCATAAAGGGAACATATCCCAACATAATAAAAGCTATTTATGACAAACCCACAGCCAATATACCACTCAATAGTAAAAAGCAGAAAGCCTTACCACTAAAATCTGGAACATGACAAGGATGCCCAGTCTCACCACTTCTCATCAACGTAGTCCCGGTGACAGCAGTAAGACAAGAAAAAGAAAAGGTATCCAGATTGGAAGAGAAGAGGTAAAATTTTTAATATATGCAGATGACATAGTACTATATACAGAAAACTCTAAAGACTCCATAAAAAAACTACTAGAACTGATAAACAGATTCAGAAAGGTAGCAGGATACAAGATTAACATACAGAAATTGGTTTCATTTGTTTACATTTACAATGAAATATCAAAAAAGGAATGTAAACAAACAATTCCTTTTAAAATCACATCAAAAAATAAAATACTTAGGAGTAAACCTCACCAAGTAGGTGAAAGACTTATATGCTGAGAACTACAAAATATTAATAAAGGAAATTGAAGATGATTCAAAGAAAGGGATATTCCATGTTCTTGGATTGGAAGAATTAGTATTGTTAAAATGGCCATAATACCCAAAGCAACCTGCAGATATAATGTGATCCCCATCAAATTATCTGTGACATTTTTTACAGAACAAGAACAAATAATCCTAAAATTTATACAGAACCATAAAAGACCGAGAGTTGACAAAGCAACCTGAGGAAAAAGAACAAAGTAGGAACCATAAACCCTTCCAGACTTAAGATACTACTACAAAGCTACAGGAATCAAAACAATGTGATATAGGAGCGGAGTCAAGATGGCAGGGTAGGAGGACACAGAGTTCATGTCTCACAACAATTAGGGCACCTACCAAGCACTGGTGGGGAACCACAGACACCTAATGGGATGGGAGTAACCCGAGTGGCCAGGTAGGACATGTGGGGGAGGGAGGGGAAAGAAGTGGAGGCGGATGGGACCAGCACTCATGAAGGGAAGCTGGGGGAGGGGAGGGGTACCCATACCTGGAGGGGCCCACCCTCAGTGAGGGGAGCAACGGGGACAGGGAGAGACCCTCAGGAGATTGGAGGAATGAAAGGGAAAGCAGCTAGCATGTTCCCCACCCACTTGGGCCCTGGGGAGCCTGCTGAGGTCCTGGGCCTTATACTCTGCCGTCCTAGGCCCCCTCTGGTCATGTGGGTCCTGAGGGCATGGTTGGGGGGGGGAACCAGTGCCCCTGAGGGATAGCT